GGAGCCAGTTCTCTAGGCAGAAAACAGATTTCTCTCCTTAGAAAACCTGCACAAGAGAAGAGGACTCTAGATATTGTGGTAGGGGAGATATCTCCATCTCCTCAACCAGACCTCTGTTCTATCACTCTGCAGTGAAACCCACAACATGACAAGCCCAGTCTGTGCATACAGAGCATCAAATTATTATTTTTTTAGTACTTCACGGTCAAGTATGAATGGTCAGTCAAGAATGATCAGACATTTAAGGAAAACAGAACAATGCAAACAGAAAAAAGCAAAGTAGGAAATACAAAATAGGGAACAGAAGAACACTTCAAAAAAAAATAAGCATGTTCTCACAGATAAGAAATGTTGCAATTTACGAGACAGTAACAGTAGGCTATAAAAAAAAAATTCAGAGGAGGGGTGCCTGGGTGGCTCAGTGGGTTAAGGCCTCTGCCTTCGGCTCAGGTCATGATCTCAGGGTCCTGGGATGGAGCCCCACATCGGGCTCTCTGCTCAGCAGGGAGCCTGCTTCCCTCTCTCTCTCTCTGCCTGCCTCTCTGCCTACTTGTGATCTCTCTCTCTCTGTCAAATAAATAAAATCTTTAAAAAAAAAATTTCAGAGGAAAGAAAAGCTTTTGGAAAATAAAAAATGAAAGTAGAAATTTAAAATCCAGCAGAGTAGTTGGAACACAGATTTGAAGAAATTGCCCAGTAGAACAAATGAAAAGTAGTAGAGAGGTCAGTCAGTGGAGCATGCGACTCCTGATCTTGGAGTTGTGGGTTTGAGGCCCCCCATTGGGCATAGAGATTACTTTAAAAAAAAAAAAAAAAGAGGAGAAAAGGTAAGATCATCCAGTTGACCCAATAGCAGGCAAAAACAGTAAACAAAAAACATAGAGAAAAAGGGAAGATACTATTTAGGATGTAAGGAAATTTCCCAAATTCAAAGGATGTGGCTTTCCAGATTGAAAGGGCCCAAGAAAAGGGCCCAAGAAATGGAGAATTTCAAAACACTGGATTTAGGCTGAAGATCCTAAAAGCTTCTTAAGAGACAGATCAAGTAACATACAAAGATTAGAAATCCAGATAGCATCAAACTTCTTTGCAAGAGTGGAAGCTAGAAAACGAGAGCAGTTATCTTTAACTTTCTAAGAGAAAATAAGCTCTAATGTAGAATTCTCTGTCCAGGCAAACTACCAGTTAATTATAAGGCTAGAACCAAGGAAATTTTTAAGTTTGTAAGTCCTTAAATATTGCAAACTTTCCAACCCCACATCTAACTAAAATTGCTAAAATGAAAAAAAAAATGTAAAATACCTGATGAGAATTTAGAGCACCTCCTACTCTTCATATATTGCTGGTAGGGATGCAGAATGACAGAACTGCTTTTTTTTTTTTTTTAAAGATTTTATGTATTTATTTATTTGTCAGAGAGAGAGAAAGCGCAAGCAGGCAGAGGCAGAGAGAGAAGCAGGCTCCCTGCTGAGCAAGGAACCCCACATAGGACTCGATCCCAGGATCCTGGGATCATGACCCGAGCTGAAGGCAGCGGCTTAACCGACTGAGCCACCCAGGTGTCCCGACAGAACTGCTTTTAAAACTGTTTGGCAGTTTCTTAAAAAGCTAAACATACCCTTAACATAGGACAAAACAGTCTCACTGCTAAGTGTTTGCCTAAGAGAAATGAAAACGTACGTTCATACAAAGATGTATAGTGGTCTTTATTCAAAGCCACCCAAAACGGGATATATCCAAATATCCATCAGATATCCAAAATATACATCCACCAGTGAATGGATAAAGAAATCATAGATAAAGAGTGGATAAAGACTTACACATGAAATAACATGGGTAAATCTGAAATATATTATGATAAGTGAAAATAGCCAGATACAAAAGGTATGTAGATAAATACTGTGTGATTCCATTTATATGCCATTCTGGGAAAGGTGAACCTATATAGGATAGAAATCAGTTGAGTGGTTGCCCCACAGCTAGAAATGAGAGAGGGGATTGATTATAAAGGGGCACAGGGGAGCTTTTTGGAGTGATGAAAATATTATATATCTTTATTGTGGTGGCGGTTATATGACTGAATATGTTTGTCAAAACTCATTGAACTGTATACCCAACAGAGATGATTCTCTTCTGGTTGTTAATTAAGCCTCAGTAAAATTAACATTAAAAAAAGCTAAGGGGGTGCCTGTGTGGCTCAGTCATTTGAGCATCCCGACTGCTGGCTTCTGCTTATGTCATGATCTCAGGGTTGTGAGGGAACACTGCATGAGGCTCTAAACTGGGTGCAGAGCCTCCTTAAGATTCTCTCTCTGGGGCGCCTGGGTGGCTCAGAGGGTTAAGCCTCTGCCTTCGGCTCAGGTCATGATCTCAGGGTCCTGGGATCGAGCCCCGCATGGGGCTCTCTGCTCAGCAGGGAGCTTGCTTCCTCCTCTCTCTCTGCCTGCCTCTCTGCCTACTTGTGATCTCTCTCTCTCTGTCAAATAAATAAATAAAATCTTAAAAAAAAAAAAATTCTCTCTCTGCCCACCCCTTAAAAACAACAACAACAACCAAGTTTATCCTTCGCCTGTGTTTCTTAGAAAATGACTGGAGGATACACATCATCAAGACTAAGGAGTAAATTGAAAAAGAGGAGAACATGGATTCAGGAGCCAAAGAATCTAATACAGAAAAGGTGAATTTCCAAGATGAAGGTCAAGTTTTATTTCAAAAAAGAGCCATACAGGAGGACTAGAAAATGCAACCATACTAAATTGGGGGGCGGGGAGGAGCTCTAGAAGAAATTTCCCCAAAAGAAAAAATTGAAATTGATAGAATAGTTTGAAGATGAATGGTGATAGGCATACAAGAAACAGAGCAAAAAAAAAAAAAAAAAGTTGTATTTTAGCTCTAGAGAGTTCTAAGGATTTCTGCTATAAGAAAAGGATTATTCGGGGCGCTTGGGTGGCTCAGTGGGTTAAGCCTCTGCCTTCGGCTCAGGTCATGATCCCAGGGTCCTGGGATCGAGCCCCACATAGGGCTCTCTGCTCGGCGGGGAGCCTGCTTCCTCCTCTCTCCTCTCTCTCTGCCTGCCTCTCTGCCTGCTTGTGATCTCTGTCAAATAAATAAGTAAAATCTTTTTTTTAATAAATAAATAAATAAATAAAAGGGATTATTCTCTACTGACTCAGCTGTAAATGATATTTACAAACTTATGTTAAGTAAAAGCCAAAAAAAAATTTTTTTTAAGATTTCTATTTATTTTATTTGACAGAGATCACAAGTAGGCAGAGGCAGGCAGAGAGAGGGGAAAGGAAGCAGGCTCCCTGCTGAGCAGAGAGCCCCATATGGGGCTCCATCCCAGGACCCTAGGATCACGACCTGAGCCGAAGGCAGAGGCTTTAACCCACTGAGCCACCTGGGTGCCCCGCAAAATTTATTTTTAAAAAAATTGTGGAACAATATCGAGAATAGGGAAGAGAAAATGGGAGTGGGTGGTAGGAGGGGGGCTAACTAAAATATACAATGCTAAATAAGACACGAGAGTGAAAGTGATTACCTCTGGGGAGTAAGAATTAGGTAGGGGGTGGGACAGAAAACTTAATTTCATCCTAAACATTGTAAAACTCTTTTACATACATATATACACACACACACACACGCACATATTTTTGGACATGCATGTATATGTATAGGTACAAATACGGTTTTTAAAATGTTCATTTTAAATGTTTATATAATTAAAAGTCACTTAAAGGAATCTTTCTTTTAAAGATGTATTTTTTGAGGGGGGAGGAGCAGAGGGAGAAAGAGAAAATCTCAAGCAAAGTCCATGTTAAGCACAGAGCCCGATACCATGACCGTGACCATGACCTGAGTTGAAACCAAGAGTCAGATGCTCAACTGACTGAGCCACCAAGGCACCTCAGGAATCTTTCTTTTATCTGAAAATGTCTGATATATATGAAATAACCCATTCCCCAGTAATGCCAGATAAATAAGGCCGTAATAGATTAAAAATACAGAGTCTTTTTTCTGAGGTAACAAATAAAAGGTAAGTCCCTGACTAAAGATGATTGACTCTCTTCACTTACTCTGAAAAAGGTTTGCAGTAGACTATTAATATCTTTCATTCAGATTTCATGTTTTCTTTTTAATAAATACCTTTATTTTCTTATAAAATGAACACATTATTGTACAAGAATTCTTAGTGGAAATGTACAAAGAATAAAAATAAGACAATAATCCTACCAGATGACCTGTTTGCACTAACTCATTTTCACATTTACCCTATTCCCTCCTGTGTTGTCTTTTTCTCCTCCTCCTCCTCCTCTTTTTATGTATGTATTTATTTATTAAGATTTTATTTCCAAGTAATCTCTATACCCAGTCTGGGGCTCAGATTTAAAACCCTGAGATCAAGAGTCACATGTTCCACTAACTGAGCCTGCCAGGTGCCCTCTCTCTTTTTAAATTTAGGAATGTGACATATACTTCACTAGTGAATAATCACGGGAGCTGTGGATTTGGTGAAGAAAGAGAAATCAATTGAAAAGAGAGAAGAAAACAGGGATATAAAACAAAGGAGGGCACAGAGAAATAAAGGAGTAAAACAAAACAAAAACTCTATTGCCTCTAAAACAAAACCAAATTTGTTAGAAGAAAAAAAAAGAGTCAAGTTCAAGCCCTGATTCTTCAGTTAGCACATCATGCATGAAGTGAAACTTTTCCCATTGATGTTGTGGACAATTCTGTATCCAGGTCTACCATGCTACAGAGAAGAAGAAAAGGGTTTTTAACCTCTTCACAGAGAACCATTAATTGGGAATCACAGACAGCAAAGAGGTTTTGGTAAATGGAATACTTCATGAAACAGGTTTTGCCCCCCAGTTTCTTTGAGTACCATCTCCTAAAAGAGATAAAGTTAATAGGAAGCAATTAGAAGAGTATCTTATTGCAAAGGGTGTCAATTACATACATACATTTCTTGTCCAAAATGTAATTTTTTTCTGTTCCAGTGTTCCTAGAATCCCATGGGCCTTTGCCATGACAGAAGTATGTGGCATGATTTTGTGCTATATTTGGCTCCTGGTTCTTCTTCTTCACAAACACAGGTACCTCTTATGCCATTAAAAGACAAAATATTTTGACTGTCTTGGATAAAGTTCATCAAACCTTGTTTCTCCCTTTGTAGTTTCCTTGTTAATTTCCTTTAGTCGTTACGAAAAATGCCTCGGGTTTGATCAACAAGAAAGTCACTGTGAGGTAATACCTACATATTTAGTAGTATTCTGAATATATTCTGCAGGCAAAGATCAGAGATGGTGATGTTCAGCCATGAGCCAACCGCTGATAGTCTAGCTGTAACTTTCTTTGAAAACAAATCAGAAGTGTTTTTGTGGAAGAATAGAAACTCCTCCAAGGACAGTCTTTGGTCATGGACAATGTTTGAATGAAAGAAATTCTCTGCTTGGAGGAGGCCTATTAGAAAAGAGATTATTTTGCATACCATGTACATCTAGTCAGTGTGGTTTGCTTAAGATGATACAGGAAATTGCTGAATAGGGAAAGGGCTTCTTTGGCACTTTCACTAAGAAATATAAAGGAGAGAATTTTTTTATTAAAATGAAGTGTAAGGGGAAGCTTCTTTTCTACTTTAATGCAGGGAAATTACTTGATTTAAGTAAAAAAATAAGGCATAATGAAAAAATTTTACAAACTATGTAGCTAATAGATCTGGTTTCCATTGTCTGTGGACACTGATGAAGAACAGGGACACTTTTTTGAATTTTTTATCCTCTCCTCCTCACCAGGAAGGATTTGAGGTAAACCAGTGATGGGCTTTAGGTCCTAAGCAGCAGTTATTTCATTGCTTTGACGGTGAAAAGAAAGGTTGATCATTGCTATTGTCAAACTGGTAGGCTGTCATTTGCTTCGTTTCCCATTTTCCAGCAATATTTTTTAACTGTGGATTGCTTAAAAACAGAGGTGGTTTAAAAACGTGTAATATCACTGCTGCTTTGTGGTTTAACTTTGGCTCACAAGACCCTATGAATTTGAATTTTCCACTCTTCAAAACAAGAAAGAATTTACCATACAGGAAATTTTGGTAGGTTTAGCAAAGCACAGCAGTGGCCAGTTAATTGCAAGTTTTGGTGTTTAATTTGTCAGAGAAAGTGTTTCTTTCCAATGTTTGGCCTTTGTACTGCTTTCATTAGAATCACCTCGCTTTTGTTAAAATGTGGTTTCCTAGGTTCCATCCCAAGTGTACACACTAAAATTTGACATCTCTTGTGTTCATTGCTTCCTTGAGGGTGAGAAGAGCATTTTGAAAACATGTAAATCATAGTCCCTGTGCTTAAGATTATTATAGTCTGTTTTGGTTTGGATATTTTAAAAAATAATATGACAGCACAAGTGATATCACAATGCAGTTCAAAATTTTTGCTAGGTATACTTAATATAAAACTTAGTATTTAAAAAACTTAGTATTTTTATACTTTAAGTTTTAAAAAGTTAGAGAATGTTTAAGATAGCTACTATCAGTAACCAATTTACAATTTTATTATTCAGCAAAAATTCCCTAAAATCCTGTTTAATTTTACCTCTCATAAAGTAAATAATTAATGAACAATATATGAATAACAGCATTAACTTTAAGCTAAGAGTCAGGGTAGGTACTAGTCCTTCTTTTCTTGGATAGTTCCTTTACTTTCTCTTAGCCATATCTTATCAATGAAATGATGCTCTTAGGTGAGCACTGTCTAACATGGCAGATACTAACCACAGGTGGCTACTTAAATTAATGAAAATGAAATGAAGTCAAAATTTACCTCCTTGGATGTATTAGTCACATTTCAAGTGCTCAAGAGCCACATGTAGATAATCTTATTGGGCAGTGCAGTTATAGAACAGTTCTGTCATTACAGAAAGTTCTATTGGACAGTGATATTTCAGATCTAAGATTTCTTTAAGATTTCTCTCTTCTTCAAAGAATCTAGTTCTGGTAGTTTTCCTGCCTGCTCTCCCTTTAAGTAAACACTTCATTCCTGGAGATTTTTGGTTTGCTTTCTTCTGATCTTTCTCGCTTTTTGGTCACTCTGTTCACAGGTCAATACTTCTCCGAAGGCTCTGTAGTCTGATGGGCACAGTATTCTTGCTTCGCTGCTTTACCATGTTTGTGACCTCCCTCTCCGTGCCAGGACAGCACCTGCAGTGTACTGGAAAGGTAGCCTGCTACCTTCTTTATCATTCTTTCTTATTCTTGGTGGGTTGACGGCACCATATTTGTAACAGGGCTAAAACTTTGCTTTTAGTGTTAAAATGCTTTTTAAGGGCGCATGCGTGGCTCATTTGGCTGTGTCCAACTCTTGATTTCAGCTCATGTTATGATCTCAGGGCTGTGAGTTTGAGCCCCCAGCATCAGCTTATGCTGGCCATGGAGCCTGCTTAAGATTGTCTCTCTCCCTCTCTCTCTGCCTGTCTCTCCTTTCTAAAGAATAAATAAATAGATAAAATGTTTAAAATGTCCTTTTTAGTATTTTTAATATCTGTAATAAACCTCTAGAAATACTTTGGTAGAAACCTTAAGCCAGAATCTACCTCCTTGTTACATATGTCCATTGATACTGGTTCTTTGCTGTGGAGCTATGGAAAACAAGTTTCTTTCAATTATCATTTTCCCTTTCCCACCATCTTGAGCATCTTTAGTTCCTCATATTGATGTGGAAATGTTCAGGTTCAGAGCAAAGAAAGAATTCTTGAGACATCTTCGCTGCAAAAAGGTGGTTTTATTAAAGCACAGGGACAGGACCCATGAGCAGAGAGATCTACACTGGGGTTGTCACAGGTGACTGATTGATTATAACTTTCAAATTGAGAAGGGCTTAGGGACTAGCATTAAGTCTCTAGGGAATTGTGGAAACAAGGTTTCCAGGGCCTTGAGGGGGCTAGCTATTGTTAGGACAAGGTCATTTATTACTGTCTAGTAAAACCTTAGTCATGACACCCTTCAGATGTATATCAGGGGTCCATTATCTTGGAGGATGGCTGCTGCCATATCTTGGGGGATAGAAATAAAGGAAGTTTCCAAAGGAATTTTTTTTTTTTTTTAATTTATTTGACAGACAGAGATCACAAGTAGGCAGAGAGGCAGGCAGAAAGAGAGAGCGGAGGAAGCAGGCTACCCACTAAGCAGAGAGCCCGATGCAGGGCTCTATCCCAGGACCCTGGGATCATGACCTAAGCCGAAGGCAGAGGCTTTAACCCACTGAGCCACCCAGGCGCCCCTCCGAAGGAATTTTTATATGTTAAAGGAGACTTATAGGATCTTGGAGGTCAGGATAATGTTAAGCTAAAATTGCCTTTTGCCCTTAGCAAAGTATTAACATCAAGGCCCCTGAGTTCCTAGAGGAGGGTCATTCTGCGTGGCTCAAGGACTTGTCAGTGGGCTGTAAGTTGTAAGGAAATTTAATTTTTTTCTTTTGCCTTTGTTCTCCATATAAATATAACATGACAGTGGTCCCTTTGATGTCCTTATCACTTCTTTTTAAAAAGTTTTCCATTTGACTATATTCCACTTAAAGTACATACTATTCTAAACTTCACTCTTTGCTGGGATATCCTAAATAATGGCCAACTTGTTGTTTTTGTTTTAAATTTTGTAGCTTGTTTTGGTATATTATAAACAATATCTTCTCTTCTGATTAAATTGAGAGAGGAGAGATTATGCAGATGGGAACAAAAAAAAATTTTTTTTAAACCTGAAAATTACCTGTACTTTACATACAGAATTGGCCTTCGTGACTCATTAAATTTGGACAAAAGAATTTATTATCCTATTTCTCTAAGCCTCCGTGCTTTAGTTATTTATTGCCAAATACTCAGATATCTGTGTTGGCACCTTTGTTGTTATTTTAATATTGTTTGTATATGTGTAAAACAAAATTACGTGTCAGCTCTTCTGTTACAATATACATAGCTGAAATGCCAACAAGGAAGATTAAGTGGCCAGAGGATCACTAACTAAAACTACAGCCCCGAGCGGAAGGGTGACAAAACTTTCTCCAGGTGTTAGGAGACTGACCAGTACGCAAAGGAGAAGGGTTAATATGACACTTAGGATTTATTGTGAAGACCGTGTTTTATTTTTCTGAAAATATATAAATTAAAAAGTAAAAACATCATTCCCTCTTCTTTCACCCATCCCATAAATAATCCTGTTAACAGTTGGGTATATAGCCACATAGACATTTTTTTTTTTTTTTTAAAGATTTTATTTGAGGGATTCCTGAGTGGCTCAGTTGGTTAAGCATCTGCTTTTGGCTCAGGTCATGATCCCAGGCTCCTAGGTGTGAGTCCCACATCAGGAAGCCTGTGTCTCCCTCTGCCTGCCACTCTGCCTGCTTGTGCTCTCTCTCACTCTCTCTCTGACAAATAAGTAAATAAAATCTTTAAAAAAAATTTTTTTATTTGAGAGAGAGAGCACAAGCAAGGAGGAGGGTCAGGGGAGAGGGAAAGGCAGTCTCCCGGCTGAGCAGGGAACCCAGTGCAGGTCTCGATCCCAGGACGCTGACCAAGATCATGATGTGAGTCAAAGGCAGCCACCCAACTGACTGAGCCACCCAGGCGCCCCCACATAGACTGTTTTTAAGCATACGCACACATTCATATAAGTTTATATAGTAGATACTTTTTAAATAAAAGATAAGATTATATTATAGACATTGTTCTTCGGTTTATATTTTATTTAATATTATGTTGTTTACTTTTTTCCTAAAGAAATACATATGGCTATATCTCATCTTTTTTTTTCTTAAGATTTTATTTATTTATTTGACAGAGATCACAAGTAGGCAGAGAGGCAGGCAGAGAGAGAGGCGGGGGGGGTGGGGGAAGCAGGCTTGCCGCTGAGCAGAGAGCCCGATGTGGGGCTCTATTCCAGGACCCTGGGATCATGACTGGATCCGAAGGCAGAGGCTTTAACCCACTGAGCCCCCCAGGCACCCCTATATTTCATTTTTTTAATAGCTGCAGTGTCCATTGTATGATTTACCAGTTTCCAAATTATGTACATTTATGTTTTTTCCAAATCTTACTATTTATAAATCATGCTATCATAAATGTTCTTGTGCATTTATGCATTTTCTGTTATTTAATCACCTACTTAAGATAAATTCCTGGAAGTAGAATTATCAAATCAAAGAATATGCACATTAAATACATACTGCACAGATGTCCAGCAGAAAAAGCAAATTTATCACTACTACCAATACTATATTCATGTCAGTTTTCCCACTCCTGTGCCAGCACTACTCAACTATCAATTATTGGAGTCATTGCCATTCTGATTCATGAAAGATGGTGATATGAGACTTTTACAGTTTTATGTTTTAAAGGTTATTATTTATTTCTTAGAGAGCATGAGCAGGGGGAGGGTCTGAGGGAGAGGGAGAGAGACAGAGAGAAAGAGAGAAAGAGAGAAGCAGACTACCAGCTGGGCAGGGAGCCCACCTCTGGGCTTGATCCCAGGACCCTGAGATCATGAGCTTAGGTGAAGGTCGACGCTTACGCCACTGAGCCACCCAGGTGCCCCTACAGTCTTAATGTTTTATATTTCTTATATAAATTTCTTATATATATAAATTTCTTATATATAAATTTCTTAATATTTGAATTTATTTCTGCACATGATGTGAAGTAGAGATAGAGTAGTTTTCCCCGGGTATAGTATGGTAATTGATTAGAAGATATTTTAAAGAATAAAAATATAAGCTTATTATACTGAAAAGAGAATTTTCTGTAGCAGAGGGATTTGTGGGTCAGCCACTAAAGAGAATGTTATATGTGCATTGGGCTATAATGCGTGCTACAAAAATAAATTAGATACCATTCCTCTACAGTATGGATAGCCCTCTTTCTGTCTCTGATGACTGTGTTTCATTATCAGTTAGTTATATATGGACATTTCTATTCAAATCTGCCCTAAATACTGTTAATTGTTTTTACATTATAATATAACCTACTTATTGACCTGTATCATTTGTAGCAGTTGTTAAAAATAGAAAGTTAAGGTGATAGTAACTAGCAATCAAGTCCCTTACAGTAAACGCCATAGGGCATTTTGATTGAAATAAAGTAATTGCTTGAAATCTCATTCCCAGAAGTAGGAGGTTTAGGGACAAAACCAAGAACCTACCTGTTTTTCAAATGTAACAATAAACCCACCTTAAGGAAAGAAAATACAGAATATATAGGACATTTAAAATTGGAAGGGATAAGGAGACTGGGTATCTGAGCAATGATTGTTTTCTTTTGACTGGCATCACTTGCTTCCTGCCCTTGTCTGAGAGATATTTTCCTAGCAGTCTCTGTTCTTCACTGCCTGATTTTTTATTTTCACAAGATTACCATATCCAGCCCTATTCTCATTAGAGGTCTTAGAAGAACCAAACTATGTGTATTTTAGTAACCTCTCTTTTCTTTTCTCTAATAATAAATCCCTTTTCCTGTCCTGCCCTTCATCAATAAGGCAGAAAGGGAAAGCTAGGTAGTACATAATCAGCAAGTGAGATTTCTAACGAAATTGTGTTATGAGGTTGTTTCTGTTGTTAATTAGCCATAGTAGAATCTTCAAAACGTAGGCCTTTAGGGGCGCCTGGGTGGCTCAATGAGTTAAAGCCTCTGCCTTTGGCTCGGGTCATGACCCTAGGGTCCTGGGTCCTGGGATCGAGCCCCACATCAGGCTCTCTGCTCAGCAGGGAGCCTGCTTCCTCCTTTCTCTCTCTCTGCCTGCTTGTGATCTGTGTAAATAAAATCTTAAAAAATAAATAAATAAATAAGATAAAACATAGGCCTTTTTTTTTGTTTGGTTGTTTGTTTTGTTTTGTAAGGTTATTTTCTTTAAAGCTCTAATTGACTTTATTGAATGATTCATGAATTGGGTAGCACCCCATCTAGGAAGTAGAGAGGCCCTCTAAGACATAGGACTTCAGAATTGGACTTCCTGGATTCACATCTTGGTTATGTTACTTACCAGCTGTGTGACCTCTCAAAACCAGTTTCCTCAGCTGCATAATTGAATCACTTCATAGGATTGTTGTGGAAATTAAATACAGTAATACATAAAGCACTTAGCAGCATGTCTTTCACATAGTAAATGCATGTAAAATTTTAGGAATTCTTTGTACTGTTACTATGTGTTAAACGCTTGCTTTTTTTTTTTTTTTTTTGAAAGAAGGACTATTACTCAAACTCTTCCTCCAAATGGATGGCTTTTTTTAAGCTTATATATGGGAGTTGGCATTGGGTTTGGCTGTTAATAGGAAATTCAAGATGGCATGGTTTAATAAATAGTGGTTTATTCTGCCTCATAAGAGAAATCTGAAATTAGGTCATATGTACCCATATGGACTTACCAAAACCCCATGATTCTTCTGTCTTTATCCTCTCCTATCCTAACATTTCTGTATGGAGTTCTCAAAAACCCATGATTCTTCTTTGTACTTTCCTGTCCTCACACTTGGCTTGCATCCTCAAGGCCACTTAGTAGTCCAAGATGGCTGCTAGAGCTTCAACTATCATGTCTGAGTTGTAGGCGCAAAGAAGGAAAGGTGAAAAAGACTTCCTCTTAGTTGTTGTCTCTTTCCTTTTTAAGTAGCCTTCCCATAACTCTTTTACACTTTCATTTACATCTTATTGTATAGAGCTTAGTCACAAAACCACACCTGCAAGGGAGGCTAGGAAATGCAGTGTTTTGGTTGAGTTCATCGCTGTGCAAATAAAGTAGACATTCTGTTACCAGTGAAGAAGGGAGGAATAGATACTGTCATAGCCTCTTTCTTACTGGCAAGAACAACCAGCAAATACTACTGCATTATTGGATGAAAAACTTGAAAATATTTTGTGTAATAGTGACCTTTTCATTGTAAAGGAACTCTTAGAGAAATTTAAATTACATAGATTTCGTGTAATTACCAGAATATTTCTGACCACACTTTCTTGATGTCTGGAATGAATTAATTAGACTGGGAGTCTGGTTGCATTTGTTCAGATCTTATTTCTAAGTCATTCAGCATTTGAATTTCAATGTGAGGGATGTTTGGAAGCCCCTACCTCTCTAGGCATTAGAAGCACTAATTTGTAGCTTTCTTTATAGATATATGGCAGTGTATGGGAAAAACTACACCGGGCCTTTGCCATTTGGAGTGGCTTTGGTATGACCCTAACAGGTGTTCACACTTGTGGAGATTACATGTTCAGTGGCCACACAGTCGTCCTAACTATGCTGAATTTCTTCGTCACTGAATGTAAGTATCTCTTTAGTGCTTCCATGCATTAGATGACTGGCTACAGAGTAGGCTGTGGGAAGGGTGTAAAGTTCTATGAAGAATGAAAGTAGCAGACTGACTTAAGAAACATGTGACTTAGAAGCATTGGAAAGAATGTGGTTTTAAAATGATCTTTCTGTCCTTTTCCCAGATACACCAAGAAGCTGGAATTTCCTACATACTTTATCCTGGGTTCTCAACCTCTTTGGAATCTTCTTCATTTTGGCTGCTCATGAACATTATTCCATTGATGTGTTTATTGCCTTTTATATCACGACAAGACTCTTTTTGTACTACCATACTCTAGCCAATACCAGAGCATATCAGCAGAGTAGGAGAGCAAGAATTTGGTTTCCTATGTTTTCTTTTTTTGAATGCAATGTGAATGGTACAGTACCTAATGAATATTGTTGGCCATTTTCAAAACCAGCAATAATGAAAAGATTGATTGGCTAAAGTCTATCTTTGTAATGGGTTCATGGTTAAATATGCAGTAGTTGTTGAAAGTGAGTAACGTTTGCTTTCTCCCCCTAAGCTGTTCCCGGATGCCTTGCATTTTGGCTTATATGTTGACAAAGTGAAGTTCCATGTTCTGAGCAAGGCTATGATTGTAGAAATCAAGAAAGAGCAATCAAGAGTCCTTACATATCCGTGTGAGTAGGAAGCTTAAGTAGATGTTTCTGACCCTTCTCTTTGGGCAGACTTAATGTTGTAATTGAAGTCAGGCTGTTACCCTCACCTGTTGAGAACTTGCTTATTGAATTTAAGTAATTTGGTGATTGAATGTGTTTTTTTTTATTTTCTAACTTCATTAGGACTCTAGTCAAGAAATAATTTTTTTGGGGTCCTTATTATCTTCAAAGGAAAAACCTCTACCAAATGAGCAGTACTTGTTCTTTGAACTAATCTCTGTCTTTTTAAAAAATGCAACTCTAGAAAGTGATCTGTGTCACTAACAAATAATTTCTGCCTTCTGAACCATCTTTAAGAAAAGTATACTGAACATACCAGGATGCCTGAAACAACACAAGAATGGAAGGGGCCATACATGAGGTGACAAAAGTACAAATATAGTACTGGCATTTTTCACCAAAGATGCAACAAAAGATGCAGTTCCTCTTTTGTTCTGAGGGTTCAGTATGACTGTCATTAAGTGTTTATGAGGGAAAAATGACTGCATCCATAAAAATGAAATGGGCTTAACTTTAGTGAGATAGGTACCTGGAACAACTTTGTGCTATAGTTGTTATTTAGACATATGACAGCCCAATTTTATGCCTTTAAATTATGTTATTTAATGAGCAAAATAGTGGAGTGTGTTACCAAATGTTAGATAAAGTTCTTATGTCCATAAGTAGGGAGGTATGCATGCAAAGAATATTTTTTCTGTTTTTGAAAAGAAATTTATAACGGTTGCAGGCATAATACAACTTTTTGAAGTTTGTCATTCTTGGCCTTCAGAAGTAAACAGTCTCAGATATATTCGGATGTGGAAAAAAGGTTTTGTTGTTTTTCTTTTTTAAATACAGTTGTGTACATACATTCTTTCTACTTAGTCTTAACTTGGCAGTCAGGAAGTGATATAGTTAGTTGCCGTTTACAACACTAGAAATTTAGTACCTTAAGTAATTTGACCTTTGCGGTAACATTTGTCACTTTACTTTTAATGATTCTGGTTAGTAGTTATGACAGTAGAATGGTTATGGAATTGGCTTTTGAGCCCCAACTGATTGAGCTTAGCTACTTGGAATATTAATTGCGTAGTTTTTACATTCCATTTTAAAGCAAGGAGTTAGAAAAAGTGCTGGCATATTGAGGTCTAAAATTAGGCCACTTAGCAGAGACCCACTCCTAATGTGGGTGAAATATTTTATTTTTGCACTTTAAGTCATATTCCCACCCCTGTATAAGCTACAGAGGAGCCTGAATGGATTGGGCAGGAGAAGAATATTATGCAAACAAATTCCAGCCAGTGCTGAATGACCTCAATTTGAGTCTACTCTGAATATTATTTTTTTTCTCACCTGAGAAATGGCACAAGGCAATTCAAGTTTTATTATGCTTGTAAATCTCAAACTTCAGAATCTTATAATATCTTAAATTATTGATTCTAATACATGCCTGGGACAAAAATGTCAAGATTTCATCTAAGGAAACTGCATGATCATGAAGGGTGAGGGATGTTCCTATACTACTTAAAGTACTTTGACCCTTGAGGTCAAAGCCGTGTAACTGCCATTCTTTCCAAGTGACAGAGCAAGACCATATTTAGCTAGGGAGGATCGAGTATTGGCTTTTGGAAAAATGTTCGAAAAAAATCTGTGGCAACATTAAGTCAGGAATGTTAGATAGCTACTTAATGGTAAACTTCCTAACATCAGTCTTCTTTCCTTCATATGGATTCTATTCTAGAACAAAATAGAAAAAAAATTGCAAGTAACTTTGCAGAGCTGTTGACATCGAGAGTGCCTAACAGCAGACTGCAATGAGGATTGTAAAATAAGCTTTCAGCCTCGCATTTATCATATCTGATTTGAGGAAAAGGTAAGCTAGATTTATAATTTATTGTTATAACTAATACAAGGCAGTGTTTACATAAATTCATCATCTCCAAGTCTCTTGGAAAGTATTGATACAAAATTCTTTTCCATTTCTTTTTTTAATATGAAACCTGTATTTTAGTTGTTTTTTTTTTGTTTGTTTTGTCCAGAAATTTCCAGATTTTGTCTTTATATTTTTTTTTTTTCTTGTTAAAATGTAAACCATTGGAAGGGTGGTATTTATATTCACATTTTGGGGACGAATGGGCCTCGGTAGAGGAGCTACATACGTATTTTTTTATCCTTTCTACAGTTGAAGACTTAGGAGAGGCTTATATTCTTAAATACTGAGACCTTAGTATAGAAGGAACCAAGAAGGTTTTTGGTTTGGGGATACAAGTTACATTGAAAGTCCTTGATGACTTTCTCTATAATTCTGGTGGCAGTGTAGCCTTTTTTTTTCTTTTCTTTTCCTTTCTTTTTCTTTCCTTTCTTTCTTTCTTTCTTTTTTTTTTTTTTTTTTTAATGTCTATGCAGGGCATTGTTACTGAAAGGTATTGAAGTTCATAGGGAGTAAGGTTTTGAAGACGGCAAGTAAGCTATTATAACTGAATAATTTGGGAGAAACTTTTTGGCTATGCTGCAGAATTTTCAAATGGCTATCCTCTCCATCGCTCTCAGTGGCCAGAATTGCTAGAGTAAAAATACAACTTCCACATGCTGGGTCTGTTTTTTAGTTGTTATTGTTTTTTTTTAATCAGAAAGCAGTGAGAGTAGCCTTAGAACCAGTCAGCTAAAGAAATGTGGGCTGTTCACGAGAAAGAATCCATTGACTGAAGACCTGCTGGTTTTATAACTCTGACACCGCAAGTGGTGTTCTTTCTTGCCCTGTACTTGCTGAAGTATTGTTACTTAGAATTCCAAAAATCTTATAATTTACCAACAGAGAACAGAGAAGCCAAACCCTTTTATAGTTCCTATGAAACAGTCTGTTTTAGAGACATCTGTTTGGAAAGTGTTATTTATATATTCAAAGTCATATTCGTAACACTAACTTGCTTGGAGTGTATTCCGCAAAAGGCAATTTCATCATGAGTTTTATAGTAAACATTTTTTAAACATTCTTGGTCCAAAATGCTTGAGAACGTTAACCATATTCTTGTTTTAAACTCTGTGATCTAATAAACTTAATTCTTTGATAGTCTTTTTGTAGACTTAAGTTATCCCTTACTAAGAGTAACTAGCAGTAATAGTCATGTGTCAGTTCTTTAAGGTATTCAGGCATTTGAGACAAGAAAGTTCTCTTTTAGAATAGTCCAATAGCTTTCTTAAACAGTGTTGGTTTCTTTTAGATAGTTTCAAAGCCAACAAAGCATGTCAGTTTCAATGCCTCTTCACTTGGCAGTTAAGATGGTTTGCATTTGTAGAAAGTGCAGCCTGAATTACCCCTACACCTCTATAGAGACTTGTTAGTAACATCAAAAGTCGGGCTGCTTCAGGTGACCAGTGAGAAAGGAAAGAGGTTGAGGGTTTTTCCCTCTTTGTGTTTGAGTGGTTCTGAATGACTGAAATCACTGTGAAAGTAGGTTTTAGTCTCCCCTTTCACCTACTGCTTGCACCCAGTGAATGCCACCAATTTCAGGTAACTAAAATGTGGCCTATTACTTTACATCAAGTTCAATAAAAGTATCTATGAAATCTGTAAACCATAATTCAGCGACCAGTAAGGTTGGTTTTAGAATATGTTCTACTCTAAATTAGCCAAGAGACTTTTTATTCAGTGTATTCCATATTTAAGCATAAGGAAGATTTGTGCCTGATACAAAGGGAGAGGGAATACTCTGATAATCTCATTATTATTTCAGGTCTGTTTCAATATGAACTACTGAGTTGTCTGAATGGTAGCCAGGCCATGTTATTAATGTCATCTTAAGAATGCTTAATTTTAATAATTTTTTATTCAGAGAATCTATGGATTATTAGGACAATTGAAGTATTTCTGATATGGAACAAAGGAAGTGGAAACTGGTACTTAGTGGGGGAAGCAAAATTAGCTTGGACTAAAGTGGGCATGTTTTGTTTTAAGAACTCTACCTAAATGTAACTCTGTCCACAGAGAAACTAGTATTACTTGAAGATGTGAATGTTCCTGTGGTAGCCATACCTTGAAGCACAGTGTTGTATATAAGTAAATATCTTGATTCTAAATTAAATCCAGATTTAACTAATAAATTATTTTATATCTTTGTTGTATTAAAATGTTTAAAAACACTAAAAATAAAACATTTGAAAGTTGAATTGCAGTCTCTTATTTGAATGTCTTTGCATTACTAATGCAGCTTGTCTTTTTTTTTTTACAGTAAATTTTTATTTTTGCAAATGATTGGGCCCAGCAACTTTAAATTTCAATATCGTATCTAGTTCCTGGCTCTTACTAATGCTTACTTAGTTGTCTCTCTTTTTTTTTTTTTTAAGAGTTTATTTATTTATTTGACAGAGAGAGATCACAAGTAGGCAGAGAGGCAGGCAGAGAGAGAGGGAAGCAGGCTCCTCGCAGAGCAGAGAGCCTGATGCAGGGCTCGATCCCAGGACCCTGAGATCATGACCTGAGCCGAAGGCAGAGGCTTTAACCCACTGAGCCACCCAGGCGCCCCTCTTAGTTGTCTCTTAAATAAGCCATTTGCCCTTTCTCCTTTCTTTTGTGTAAACTAGGAAAGAAAAGTAATCTTCCTGGGGTATTAGAATAATTGTGGATTAAGATGAGAGGGAGGGAAAAGATGCAAAAAACACATTAAAGTTTTTGTTTGGTTGGTTGGTTTTTATTTAATTGTGGGTTATATGGGAAGATGCCATAATCCTGGCAGGTCAGCTTTGGAAAAAATGATGAACAGGGAAAGAAGGGAAAACAGCTCTTAGGGGTAGCTCAGTAGCCGAAAACCATGGAGTAATTGAAACACTAAGCATCGTCATAGGACCATATGAATTTAATCTGTGACTGAACTTAACTTTCATGACCACTACTAATCTGTTGGTGGCCCCAGCTAGTCTCTGTCTCGGGAACTCTGGGAAAGAATAGTCTAGAACAGACCTAGAGGCTACATGGTGGAATAGAAAATGCACTGGGTTTAGACTCTGAAGGCCTGGGTGTTGCATCTCTGCCACTGATTAGGTCTTTTCTTCCAGCTCCACCTAACTTTATGTTTAAAAAGGGATACAAAAAAATGCCTTTCTCATAGATTGTATTAAAGGCCAGATACGAAAGTACTCTACCCTTGATGTCTTAGTAGCTGGTACATAATGCTGAAATACTAGTTGAATTTAGGTCAATAAAATGGCCTATGCCCCCAGGAAATTAATAATCTAGCAGGGAAGTTGACATGAAACATTCATTGGGGGAATCAACCCACAGTTTTAAAAAAACTGCCTGGTTGAATATCTTCAGGGATGGGGAAAGGGAAGTGGGGAATTTGTACCATTTTCATACAGAGTTACTGTTTTACATATTTGATTTTCCTTGTAGGCTTTCCCTTTGGAAAAAGAGTTGAGGATAGAAGAAGCAAATGTTCGGAAATAGCTGAGTCAATAGAAATTTTACTGTCTTCATTTAATGGTAGCTTGGGAGAGGAAGGGCTCAGTGGGGACTGAGGGTCCATGCAGAATTTACTAAGCATGTAAAACTTGAACTGAGCCTTCCCTGAAGAAAAAATTCATAAGAACATGATGAAAGCTTTAGAAGACTAATGTAAAAAATTGGATTTGTGTATGTGTTAAGGAACTGTTGTCAGGGTATGTGTTTGTTTGTTTGTTTTTTAAGATTTGTTTGAGAGAAGGGTAGGAGTTGGGGCAAGAGCAGAGGGAAAGAGAGAGATTCTTAAGCAGACTCCTGCTGAGCGAGGAGTCCAACAGGGGGCTTGATCTCACAACCCTGAGATCATGAGCTCAGCTGAAATCAAGAGTCAGATTCTTAGCTGACTGGGCCACCCAGGCATGCCCACAGGGTATATGTTTTTGTTGTTGTTGTTGTTGTTTTTAAGATTTTATTTATTTATTTGAAAGACAGAGATCACAAGTAAGCAGAGAGGCAGACAGAGAGAGAGGAGGAAGCAGGCTCCCCACTGAGCAGAGAACCTGATGCGGGGCTCGATCCCAAGACTCTGGGATCATGACCCAAGGCGAAGGCAGAGGCTTTAACCCACTGAGCCACCCAGGCACCTCTGACAGGGTATATGTTTTTAATACAACCATTGGGATACCTGTTGCCAGGGTCTAAATTGTTGGGACACGTATAAGTAGTTTTATAAAACAGGAGTTAGTAAAGGGCACAAGTGTAAGTCAAAAAGAGAGAGGTAGGATGATGGAAAGTACACAAAAGATCAAACGGGAGATGAAGGAAAGGCTACAGGCCAAGTTAGTAGGTCACGGAACCCAGGCCTGGGCACAGCTTGTAGGAAGCCTCTACACCTAACCAAGGAAGATCAAGACATCCCAAAATGACCTGCCAGGTGCTACTGGATTATGTAATGTGACTGTAGGATATGATATACCCTTTATCCAAAATTGTCTGTTTTATGGTCAAACAGCTTACTTACCTGTCCAAGTGCTGGGCTGCCAGGCATAATGTGGAGTGGGAACAGCTCTGGCAGAGACTTGAAAAGAGTGCTGGGGCAAGAGAATGCCTCAGAGGAGCTCAGTTACCACCATCAGCAGTAACTTAGAAGAAGACCACTTGATAGCTGTAAGGCCTCTGCTAGAGCAGCATGGATATTTAAATGCTGTATGTCCTCAGCTTAAAGGGCCCCCTAGGAGAGCTACAAGTATGAAACCACCATGAACCGTTCATATTCCAGCCTTAAGGGTCTTGGATCCCACTCTAAAGAAAACACATGTACGTAATGGTTTATCTTTTTCTTTTCTTTGTTTTAAGATTTTATTTATTTGAGAGAGAGAATGTACAAGCGCGGGGAGTAGCAGGCAGAGGGAGAGGGAGAAGCAGGCTCCCTGCCAAGCAGGGACCCCAATGTGGGGCTTGATCCCAGGACCCCAGGATCATGACCTGAGCCAAAGGCAGATGCCCAACCAAGTGAGCCACCCAGATGCCCCCTAATGGTTTTTCAATACAGACTAATCAGTCTTC